TACTCCCCATCTAAAATGCAAATTGTTAGCTCATCAGAGGCCAAGAAAGCCAAGCTATGCAACCATGTGACAAAATTTGCATGGGCTGCCTGACCTACCGGAGGTGTCGTAGAGGTGGCCTTTCCTCATACTTCATTCCAAACAATTTTCTTATCATGATTTGACATGTATTTATAAGCATATACAGTATATTTGAACATGTTTTCTTCCTTGTTGACAGGTGGTATTGGGGAGGCAGTGGCCGGTGCCCTGGCAGGCAACTCTGGCATCATCATCAGGTCCCTGGCTGTCGGCGAGGTGCCCCGCAGTGGTTCCAAGGACTTCCTCCTCGACCACTTTGGCATCAGCGCCAAGCAGATTCAGGAAACTGTCAAGGCGATGCTGGCCTGAAGACAAAGAAAGGTTGGCACATAGACCAAGGCATTAGATTCCACCAAACAGACCCTTAGATGGCTTGGTGTAGGTGTATTGATTTTCTCATTTATTACATGTAACTAGTAGCGGGTGCAGAGTTGATTGATGTGTTTCTCCTCCTTTGCAGTCAGTAAACTGATACAGTTCATTTCTAAACCCTGTGTAACTTTGCACAATGTTAGTCATTCATACAGTGCACAACCTATTTGTTTTCTTTTCTTTTAGTTCAAAACAGTACTTGACCCTAGCAGGGCCCTGGAGTATACAAAGGCTGCGATCAGATTTGGGTTTTAAAGGTTTTGACTTTTGATGAATGGGAGTAAAGTTACACTTCCATCTCGGTACAGGCACGATCTTCCTCTGGCCTGATTACCTCACAGGATTTTAAACTGGGCTGCTTTTTCAGCTATGTACTGGGAGGGTTTACTGCTCGGGTTTAAAGATGCTGTAAATTGTCTTTTCTCTATGCCTGGTATGACAGTTGATGGCATGTTCAGGTTTGTACATGAAAATGAAAAATATGCCACTGCCCTTCAATGTTCTACTCGTGAGAGATTTTTGTTGTTTCTTCATGACAAACATTAACTTCCAGGTCAATTGATATAAAATTCCAAACATTGTTGCATGAAGCAGTGTATAAGTTAGGCATCTAGGGCAATATCCATTCTTGCGAAAAAAGGCTTTCAGAAGCCGTCATGTGCTTTTGCATATTGGCCTCTATGAACTTGGGTAAAATTGAAGGTGGAAGTTAATTTTCAACCATGAAGAGGTTACTGGTACCTGACCCCGTCAGAAATCTGCCATGCATAAAAAATGACTCATTGGGCAAAACAAACATTCATACATCATCAAAAATGTTATGTAGCTATGTTTATTGTTTTTGACTAACTTGGTTGATACATGTGTACGTTGGTGAGCAGTTTTTTTTGGGGGGGGCTCAACAAAACAGTAAAGTTGGGGCCCATTAATCTTGACTTAATTCCAGAATGTTTCAAACTCTGTTGGTTCATCTTTAACTGCCTGCATTTACACCACTGAATATCTGACGGAGAAAAATTGATACATGTACATGTACCCATACATACATGCATGCGCAAATACAAAGCTGTACGTGTTTCATGGGTGCATTTGAGACAGGGTACCGTTCATTGTATATCACACTCCTTTTGTTTCCTTGCGACACTTGTTAAATTCAGTTGTCGCCCCAAGACAAAAACTTACATGTACAGGTATTTCACAAAGTCCAAAATAAAGCCCCAGTACTCATTTGGAACCAATGGAGATGTTGACAGTGGAGGGTTCGTTGCTCTGCCGAAATGCTGTACATGTATGTGGCTTGTGCATGATTCGACAAGATGTCGCCGCCAAACCAACTGACTTCAGTGCAGTTTGCCCACATGATCCAGTGAACTGCTACATATTTATGTTGGTTATTCCTTGTCAGTGTGGCCCGCATAGAGGGAAAATTTCACAGTTCCGCTGTTATGACAAACAAGTGTCCAAATGACACACTCAACATAAATGGAGCCTGTCTGTTTGGTTGCGAGTTTAGAGTAGTTACAGAGGATTCTAAGAAACATGTTGTTAGTTATCAAATCCAGTAGATTACCCCAGCATTGGGAATACATGTGCTTCACCAAGGCTTTGTCACCAGCAGTAATAACCTTAACTCAAGTTACGGTGGCAAGAGCCCATGCACTTATCAGCATGTGTCATTTGATCAGTGACCAATGTCGCAACCCCTCCCCATTGAAGATATGGATAGACATAATTCAATTCTTCTGTAAACAGTACATTTTCAAATCATAGCAATTTACCAATTGTTCTGGCTGATATATATTTTTTGGAATGCATTTTATTTTTAGATAAATCTTTGAAGGAATTCCTTTAATTGTAAAAGTACTCATTTTATCGAGAGAACATAGACAAATTGGTATAACCAAATGAAAGTTTATGTAGCTGACACAGCTGAATTTATTTTGAAGAGCTCATAAATTGTTATTTTCCAAATTTCCAGTTAAAATTACCTGATTACCTACAAATGTTCTACAGTTTTTATACATTAGTTGGAGTGAACTTTAGATAATGTTGAAAGTTGTGCAAAGATCAGAGTTGAATAAAAACATTTCTTTCGCAATGAAAATAATTGAACGTGTGATGCTCTACTGATATGCAAAAACAAGTGAAGTCAACGTTCTGAGTCACATACATGTGCATGTTGGGACTGCAATAGAAAGTCTCTCCTTGTACATGTAGGCACGTACTAGTACATGTACTGTAAACTTTTATCTGCACATGTACAAAAGTTGTCAAGGAACTTGCAATGAAATGTGGTGCAACTGGAACTCAATAATCACTCAATATTTTGTGAAACTGATGGCAGGCCTTGTATGCAAGAAATGCTTGGCGCATGGTCAGTTTCGTGGAAGTACCAAAAATGTGGCTGTTCTTGGTATGAATTTACAGGTTTGCTTCACTGAAAAAGTCCAATACAGTACAAGCATGAGGGACCCAACCTACCTCATCCGTCTCATTTTGCCTTGGCAAAATCTAAACATGAGTGAGCGCAGCCATACCCATACACCTGAACCTACGATGTAGCACTTCAAAAGTGAACATGTGCCAGGGTTTATACATTTTCTGATGTATTTCAAGAAATTTAGAAAATTGAAAACTTCGTCATACGTGTAAGGGCAAAGATTTTGTCAGTTTTACGACAGAGAATGGACAAAGGCTGTAGATTCATGCAAAGAACGGGAAAGGCTAGACTGATACCCAAATCTAGAGTTCTATTCTCTTGAAATACGTCTCTCCCACCATTACTGTCCTAAAAACATTGTTCAAGCGTCAATGCTTTGTACTATGAGATAAATTCGATCCGTTGCCCGGTGCTGGCTAGCCATGCAAAACTTTGCCCCAGGCCTTATTTTGTATGCACGCATTCGTCAGGCTTTTCTGGGTCTTATTTGAACTCGACGCCTGGGTGCATAGCCTTTGTTCCATTCATCAACATGCATAGACTTATCACAGGAAACATTTAGAGTCATAACACATGCAGTCAGCACTGGTGGATAATACTCACTCTTAATCACTTCTTACATCCTAAATTAAGTCATGGTTAATACATTTTAAACTATTAGTCTAAAACCACAAACTTCATGTAAAAAGATCTGGACCCCTGCGGCTCACAGACTGTATGGGATCAAGGATCACAATACCAACCAAGTGGAAGTTTGATTATCACCACTTTTGAGAGTGAAAAATGTCGGTAATGCCCATCAGCCTGGTCTTTTTATCGGAGTACGGTCTTTTGTTACAGGGCCCTGTTTCCTTTGTCTGAGTTCGGAGACCCCGGCCACCCATATAAACCATACGTCTCCGATCCCAAAATCCCCGGCAGGAAGTGGTTAACCCTAAAAGAGCCGGAGGGGGGCAGAATACCTCAACATTTTTCCAATATTGCCACGGTGTATTTTTTTCCAGGAGTTGAGCTCTTCAGAGTTTTAGAGTAATTCTTTCAGTCATTTTGAAACCATATTTACAAAAGTCGGATATTGTTCTTGGGCAGTGTACATTTTTTCAACGGGGGTCAGCCAAATATGTATACCTCTGTGGTGCTCAATGCCTCACTGGCATGCATGTAGCCTTGAACTTCAGATGACCATTACAACAAAACTATATCTGAGTTCAAACTTTACATCTTAAATGATAAGGAGCGTCTGTATGCTTATGCCAAGTTTAAAAAAATTGGGCACAGCCAAGTGGGGGGGGCAAGACCCCCCCAGCTGTGAGATGGGTCAAAATAACCTGACTCTTTTGAGAGTTAAAGTGACCTGAACTTGGCTTGTTCCACTCCAAGTATTTAATGTCTGTAGGCAATGTAAATTCACACTGCATACACAATGCTTCACTCACAAGGATTTCACAATACATAGTTCATCTCACATTTTAGAAAATAAAAGTTAGAGCACTTTGGAAGACCTTGAAAAAAACTTTTTTCCCCACACATGCATGTATGCAAGACAGTACTTGGAAGACATACCATATACATATACAACCAAATGCAGAAATTGAGTTTACATCCTGAAATCTGATTAACAGGATTTAGAGCTGAATAAAGTGATTCTAACATAAATTTTGTGTGAGGTAAACTACATGTACATCAATTTGCTGGCTTTTTCCAAGCCATGCGCAGGAAAAAGCACTTAGCACCTGCAAACTGCCGAACCAGCAATGATGAGAGTCATTTCCACAGCATTATCAAAGAATTTTTATTCCCCTTTTTTCCTTACATGTTGCTTGTTCTTTTCTCTAGTTCTTGTGGGGAGGGGGGTATAGTACCCCTTGCCTTGCCCCATGTCCTCCCTTCCCCTGATCTTGCTATCCACTGCTATTGACAAGTGAGGCTTCTATAGAAATTCGCCCGTTTGGAATGGGGCCAAAATATATTTCGTGATTACCTGAGTTACATAACAGCTTCAGTGTCATGTGATGTCATGGACACAAAAGAAGGAAAAAAAGATCAGTCAAGCTGGCTTGCGTATACTGTAGTGGGTAAGGAAAAGCATTAGTATTGCAGGTGTTCTTGGTTCGAATCCCAGTGTTTTATTCTTAACGATGTTTTTCTTTTTTTGCAAGTTCTGTTGTAAAAGATTGATTTGAGAAGTTGCACTGTATTTAAGGACAAAAGCTCGCTTCAGTGCATTGATCAAGTAGTTAAAGGTTAACAGAAATTGAAAGCATTTAGTTCACTTGAATTATTTCAAACTAGCAGTAAATACATAACCATTTTAAAAACATCATAAATTCAATATTTACCCCATTAATCGTGACCTCAAAATGAACAAAAAGATCCTGTGTGTCCCCTCCCACAACGAATCCCCTTTTGGCCGTTTGGGCTCCCAGGCTGATTTGATGACATCATCGGCAAAACGCCTACATGCAAAGTGTACATACATGTACATGTACATTGCACGATTGCACACAGTACATGCAATATCGCACGCTTGCAACAGACCACGTTGTGTGCGATGTAGCCTGTCTCGGTTCAACATAGAAATTAACCCGAACCCTCCTCAATCCTTCACCTGTTGGACGACTGAGGAGTGTTAGGGTTAAAAGACACAGTCCTACTGTGCATTTCTTGAACTGAGACAGTGTTTGCCTGTATTTTCCAAATATTTACAGAAGGATTGGAACCCAAGCCAAGGCTTATATGCTAATTATACATCAGTTTTTAATAACAGCTACAGTGTGTATACACCCAAAACTATTGTTTTTGTACAAATTTAAATTCCCCATTCAAGATGGCCTTGTAGTAATGCAAATGCAAACACACAATATACCGCCCTCTGTTATCAGTGTTTTGAACTTAATTGGTCAATCTTTAGATCTCCGCGCGATCGCCCGATCTTGCTGTATGATCTGTAATTTTTACGCTCGGAAAAATGCATTTTTAAAAAGTTTGGGTGCGGAAGATTGTTTCCAAATAGTCACAATGGCATGATCATGTGGATGGACCAATCACACCCAGGTGTATGTGGGAACTTGTATGTGCCACATCAAACGGGGAGTACCCAGTCGTTGTTATACATGATTCAGTTTATTCCCCCCGACTTCAACACAGCTCTCTCTTGAGCCGTTCCTTCTCGGTCAGGTTGCCTTCCTCCAGGGGGTACTTTTTGAAAGAGTCCATGATGACAGGGGTATCGGTGGTGGGTTGGATCTGGTGCGATTGCAGGCGCGGCGTGGTCAAGATGTGCCATCGCTGTAAATTCAAAGCAAACAGAGCTAGATTTTCGTGAGTTGCACAGTCCAGGATTGCCATCTTTGTTCCAAACAACAATCAAGGAAAAATAAGGCCTATAAACAAATATTTGTGAACAGTTGGTTAGCTTCAGTGAAGTGAGTAGTACAGATAAACAGTGACCTTAGCCAAGCTTGTGCCACAAACTTCGCAACAAAGCATGGTGAAGTATTTCTCCCCCCCCCCTTTTGGCCTGAATTCATGGTGCACCACTTTTCCAAATTAGAAACTCTCTCCTTTTGACCAACATGGGATTGGAAGCCATGCTGTTGCACCTCTGTTCTGAAAGCTCATATTTTTCTCCTTGTTTAAATATGCCGCTTGATGCCTTAAAGCAATGCTAGAGTCTGCCCCAGTTACTCAATGTAGGCAGAGGTGTCGCAGGAGTTCTGAGTCCTCACAAGACCATAAGTCCTCACAAGACCACCAGAAGTCCACACAAGTCATTTGTAGTACATGTAAGTCAAGTGTGGCAAAGGCATTCCTTTTATCATTGTTCCTCATTGGTTCTCACTTCAAACCAAATACACTGTGCCGGTACATGTACATGATGATCACTGGCACTGACACCGCACATTTCAACAAAGTCTCTGCGGCCATCTTTGATATGTCATCGGGTCATATAAAAAAGTGGCAGAGCTGTCCACCGCTACAGTTGTTTGTCTTCGGGTGCTTATGACAAGAAACTGAGCTGTAGCAGTTTGAGTTAAATGCGGCCAAAGATGGTACACTGCACCAATTTTAAACATGTGGCTGACTTGTGATTTGAGACATCCAAAACCAAATAACCAGGGTTATACAGAGTTACCAACATATTATTAATTCATTTCTGGTTACGACACAAAGGATTCCTCAAAAGTGCCTTAGGAACTGTAGCTAGCAAGCCTGCATATGAAGAGACCTGTGAAGAGGAGACAATGAGAAGCGTATCATGGTACAATGTACATTGAAATTGTACCACACAGCTTGGCAGTGTTACAGTATGTGGGAAAAATGTTTTCCCGTTCATTTTTTGTGCAAAGGGTTCCCAGAGGCCTTGCACAGCTTTTCTTTAGTCTTGGACTTTGACCCAATAGTAGACATTACTGTTCAGTTTCCTTGACTGTATGTGGATGTAAAATCCCCGCCCTGACATGCTTGTCACAAGTACTCACCTCCCATAAACTCCCCTTGGATCGCAGCAGTAGCACAATGAAAGTAATGGGTATCATCATGATCGACAAGAGAGAAAGTGCCCAACCGACGAAGGTGCCCCATGGTGGGTAGGCGTAGCCGTTGTATTCAATCGGCTTGTGCTTCACTATGGCAAAGATAAAGATGCCCTGCAGAAGGAAGCAACAAGAATTGCAGTATGAGATGGAAACCTGCAAAGTGAGCGTCAAGGTGTATGCTCACAATGTGGTCAATTTTATGGTCGTTGGCATCGTAATTTTCCCTGGGATGGGGCAAAGCACCGTCAGCAACAAACTGCTAAACCATTAGTGGTGGAATAGTGGTCAATTCTGAGACGTTTTAAGCAAATAGGTGATTTTCATCCCATGTCCTCCCTCTCTTCATTCCTTGACCCACCCCCTTCCCTGTCCCCATAACTGTGGCCCTGGATTCCACACACTTTGACAATAAGCCGCAAACTGGGCCAAGAAAAGGCACAATTTTCCTGGCAATGGAGGCTCCTTTGGATGGAACGGCACTTCGCTGGTTCACGAACGACTATGAAATCACGTTACATTCATGCCATTGGATTGTTAAAAAGTCTGCAGCAAGTCTCAATCAGTATCCCATGCCTTTCCTCAGACTTGGTCTGCTCTGAACCAGGTATCCAAGAGTACAAGTCTTTTCACATGCTTTGATTTTTATCTGTTGAACAAGTGGGGGGAGAGAGGTCACAAAGCGAACTATTCTTGCGTACAATGAAATCTTTCTTTATCACAGCTGTGATAAAGTTACCTTGGACTGCTGCAATTACATGTTAATTCTGGGGAAGTTTAGAACAGGATGTGAATAGGAGTATTAAATGTTATAAACAACCACTCAAGTTAGTATGAACTTGCCACATGCAAACTTTTCTCCATAATGACATGATTGTCTGTGACTATTGTAAACATGATTGTACATGACAGGTATACCATAAACTGAAAAGAGGAGTGTTTGTAAAAAAATTGTCAAACTGTTGGATAAATCGTAGGAAATTTGTAATTTTTAAAGAGATTTTGACTTTCTGACCAAAAAGGTTACTTACAAATGGGAATAAATACATGTACGTGCTTGGCCATTAAGCAAATGTTTAAGACACCTTAACAAAATCCACTTTCTGCTAATAATGCTGTCTGTTCAAAATGCAGTACTGCCTTATGCCCCCCCTTTAGCATACAGTGTGACAAGAGGCAGAAGTAGATCTAGATGTTTCTTCCTTATGCATAAATGGGAATACCTTCTTTTATATCCTCAGTGGGTTATTCAAGAATATTCAGTCCTCAACTTGTTGTCCAATAACTTTAACATATGTTTAATGACGGATACAAACACTGAGATTTGAAACCAAAATCTGCCCTGCTCATGTTTGACTGTCCCCTCCATTTTAGGCATCTCCCCCTTTTTCAAGTGTTTCCCCCCCCCACTTTGTGGTAACTTTGGGTGATCATGAGCCACTGTGACATGCGCATGCATGTATAGTACTTACTGTGGCTTCAAGAGGTACGAGGAATTTCCAACAGATCTTGAACCAAATGAAGGGACGGACGCCCATCATGTGTTCCATGTTGTCATAGAACCGGTTGGCACCTGCAGTTTGGTCACCCAATGTCAAGATCACGTATGTACATTCAATGTTGAAATTGCAAAGAGGTGGGGCACAAAACAAAATGTGAAAAAAGTCGTTGTTAAAATGGAATGTACACTCAACCTTGCCATTGTTGACATGAGCTTTTAACGGTGCCATTTACATTACAAACATCGATGACCGATGTACTTACCATATACCCATGCTATCACTACAGATTCCACGGCACCGATCAAAAACAACGGGTAACTGACTGCATAATAATCATAAAGCTTGAAGACATACATTCCACCCTGAAATACAAACAAATATGGCCTCACTCAGTTCGAACTGTATCAAATGCCAAATGTGAGTTTTTCCCCACTTGATACTTCCAGCACCAACTGGAAAAAAAGCATTTTCAGTCCTGAAATCCTGGCTGAAGCACATTCTAGATTTCTTTTTTGTGACATCTGCAGAATCCTTTGAAAGGTTTGCCAAACAATTAAGCTCTCTGTTTAGAGAATTTGTACCACTTTTATGAGAGACAAGGTTTTATTTTATTTACATATTTGTTATTGGGTAAAGTTTGCCATCTGATACTTTTTCACTTCAACTAGTGCCACACAACCAAGTGCTACCTACTCATTACATTCAAGCTGATGACTTCTTATAAATACTGACTGCAATTTCACTATGTGTGGCATAACATCTTTGAGTCCTTCTGCACTAAGCAATTTTTCCCATCCTTAATAAAAGTTTTGAGTGCAAAAGTGCATTGAGGACATGGCATGTTTTTAAATGAATCTTTCAGACCAATTTTGCACGCCCAAAAATTATTATCCGTGATGCCAACCTCTGGCTGGCTAGAGACACTAGTCTTACATTTGTGACAAAGATGAGACCCGAGAGGAAAGTTAAGAAGCAGACAACCAGTGTGAAGACTTCCCGGCGGTGCCCGCCGCGGAGCTGACGCGGAAAGATGTCCACCAAGGCAGTTATCAGCCCCTCGACCGCCACAAACTGCAATGTGACAGGGGGAATCAAGTAACCGTCAGTTTCAATGCATGGCCTCCAATTTCTTTTTTTTTCAGGCCCTAACTGTTCTGCACCTGTTTCATCTTAGTGTCATCTCATCCTGCCTGACAGAGAACAAGAAAAAAGTCACCGACAGTGAAATGATTCGGATCCACGCCCAATTACCCTGCCCCTTAATTCCCTGCAATCTGTATCCCCATCAACACTGTTTTGCATTCCATAATCTGCCAAACCACCCTTCTCTCCCGTATTCTTTCGCATGGCTAAATTTTAAATGCATGTAGCCCTCATGCAACCCTCTGTCAAAAAACAAGATGTAGTGGAGTTATTCTCTTCGTGAGTCCTTGCATACATGTACATGTAACAGTATAATACTGTTACGACGTAACAGGTAGGGTTTCCTCTGCCTGTTCAGTTATGAAGTGGTCCACTTCACTTGTATAGGTCTCTCTTAAATGATGCCTTTTCCTATATATAAGGACTGCCACCTGCATCTGCAGTTTGCACTTCAAAGTTTCATAACATCAGCCGTGCCATATTTCTAAGATATTTTGATCAACATGCACACATGCATGCAGTTGTAATTTTCCTGTGAAGGTGTGGCATTCAGTCAGAGAGATCTATTTAGTGACCACCTCAAACTTTTGGGCCAGTATTGCTATCTCACACTTAAAGATCGAGTAGCACCCCCCTTCAAAATGAAATGTTATGAAACGTCCCAGTCATCTACGGGTATGTGTACTTGCATGCACAATTTACTCAGAGAAAGAGCACTTTAGACCCAGTGAGCGTGGTTGCATATGCCCATGTTAGTTACAGGCATTATGTCATCATTTTCCACCACTTCACGCTCAACAGTACCCCCCCCCACCCCTGCAATGTGCATGAGATTGACACATTGATTGATATATGTACAGGACATCGGGTACGGAAATACCCAGCAGTGAACCTCAGGTTCTTTCTTCCTGTGAACTCATGCAGTTTTTGAATGATTTCACTGGAGCTTAATAACACATATGACCTACTTCACACTGCAAGAAAGATGTATCCCATGTGTGGTGGTCAGTATAGAATGCATTATGACAGTGATGCATTAAGGGATGTGAAGTATATGCATGTGTAAGATTTTTTTTTTTTATCTTCTCACAGCAAAGGGGCAACTTTGTGCTGGCTGACAGTTGAGGCCTGAGGAATTGCTTCTTTACTTCTACACAGGATGACTGTTGGATGCAAAAAATGAGTCTTAAAGCAATTTTTTTCCGTTGATTTGTTTCAGGCTGCATTACAGCATATCACAGAGTCTTAATTGTCTTTGATCTCTCACTCAGTTTCTCATCATGACGAAATGGCAAATGATGTTGCTAAAACAGTTTTAAGGTTCCTGTGGACCAGATCTACATAGAGTGTCAGAGGGCCTATGGCCCAGAAGCAGACTTGTGAGTCATTCTGTTAGGTTGAGTCACGTACCGGTACGCATTCAAAAAATCTCGAAAGTGATGGGGACTGTTTACCTGACTGTCTATCCCAACCAAGAGTATCATGAAAAAGAAGAGCACAGACCAGAAAGGGGCACCTGGCATCAGAGAGAGTGCCTTGGGGTATGCGATGAAGGCAAGTCCTGGACCTACATGTAAACCAAAACAGCCAATACCACATGGTTAATTAACACCTCAGTATATAGCTTCCACATAATAATTAAAGGGTTTACCTTTGCAGTCCATGTTTATTTTTCTTACATTTTCTTTCTTTCCTCCTTTTGGACTGCTCATACGCATTCCGAACACACAAAATGTAACAAATCCGCAGCCAATACATATACTTGTCTTTCGGGTGGGGGCTACCATGACAAAGGCAGCCCATACCCCGCTTGTCTGACAGGACTGGGACCTTACAACAGTCCCCTTTTCATTTTATCTGAATTTAGGCATGTAACTTGAAGAAACACACCATGAAACGTATGGAAGGCAATACGTGCCTGCAGCTGATATGCTGTACTCTTACAACGCCTCCTACTTGTTTTTTATTCTAGTTTGCAGCTTAACCAACCAGTGGAAAAGACTAGTGCATGAACGCTGCCTATTTGTTTTTGATTCTAGTTGGCAGCTTAACCAACCAGTGGAAAAGACTAGTGCATGAAATGTGCATCGGCATGAACTTGATATGCATAAAGATGTTATGCATGTGTTATTTCTAATGCATTTGGTACTTTTTATATGTCCTTCAAAGTTTTAATTGTGACGTTGCTTTCAATTATAAAATCTTAGAGTGCCTTTGCTTATTCCAAAGCATATAACATATAGCATAATTAAGTTGCTCACTAATGCATGTCTACTGAGCTATATCCCATCAGGCCTGTGAATGACTAGAAGAGGGTCTATTTCCCTCAGCATCTGGCCTCAGGAAAATAAAAACGACCCTCAATCTTCTGGTTATTCCCAGTCCCCCAAGGTGTATAGACACCCACTAGGGACCTCATTAAGAGTCCATGTTATATATGCAGTTCTGTATCAGACAACTCGTAAACACTTGCCCGCTGTTTATAATGTTTTTCAAAAGCGCAGGCTTTCCCAATTATGTTAATATCCGGTATTCGCAGCCAATTTGCCATAATGCTCGTCTGAAAGAGGACATGTAGATGGCACGTACCCCATTTCTCCGTTACGCTTCCCCCTTCCATAATCTTAAGTACTGCAGGCTAAGACCTGGACACATCCGACTGGGAATGCAGACCATATGACTCATGTTTTTTTCAGCCCTTTTTAATTGTTTTTAATCCCCTGTTTCACAATTTTTCTGGTAATAATCTTAACATACCCGGTAGGCTATGAGCTGTTGTTTTGGAGACTGTGATTTCATAAGTTCCGAATGGTCTTGATTTTGATGCGGGTTTACAAAAAATGGCTATTTCCTGCTTTGCCTGTGGGAATGAGGAGCCCTTCCCTACCAAATGGAATGGATTGTAGTAGGGCCTACTTGTGCCATAAAAATTTTTATGTCTGACTGAAAGATCACAACAGCTAAAACTGTCGACTTACATGCACATTCTATTTACTTTTGTATGATGTACGATCATTTGATTGTTATTTTTCTGCATGATAACAAAGCTAATCTTGACTGTGGTGCTGATAAACTTAAATCTGCACCCCATTTATGGGATTTATATGGCACATCTTTCCTATACATCTACATGTATCAGAACATGTATGTCCCTGGGGGTAGGAAAAATATCCCACATCATGACAGTCAAAATCAGGGGCCAATTCCACTGATAGAGTTCCTCAGCACAGACTTAGCTCAGCAAAGAAAATGCTAAGCAAACACGATTACCAGTACCAGCCACATTTTGTTATACTTGTGTATTTTTGTGTCTTAAATACTCTATTATTTTTGGCCCAGAACGATCACATGACTGGACAACAAAACTATGCATGTCACCCTCACTGTTGGATATCACATTACACAGTGATATATCATTGACTTGTCCATTTCACAAAACACAGTAAAGGGCCAGTACATGTACTGGTTATCCCAAAGTGTTTCAACACTTAATTGCAATTCAATTTCAATTCACCTACAGCAGATTACTCAAACTTGACCCAACTCAAAAATGTCAGGCCCTAGGTTCGACTGTCTATGTTCGTTCTCAACAAAAAGATCTGTATTGTTTTTCTATACAGTACAGGAAATAGATTAAAAAGGATTTGATGACCTTCGTGAAATTCCTAGGTTGAAAAGGAATATTTTCTGTCTGTTTCACAAAAGCGTCGTGGGAGCTCAACTGACAATGCATGCATGACCAGCACGGCTGCACCTATGGATTCATCCTGAAACCTGTTCTGCTTCACCACATTCTGATTGAAGCATACCCCTGACGGCGGTTCCTGGGGGTCTCATGTTTTCAATAACAAGAACCACACAGCAAACAAGTTGCTTATACAACAGAGTGAGGTCGAACATTAATAATGGGACATTATTAAGAAAAACGGGGCATTGAAGGACGACCTCACGCAGCCACATATTCAATGAGTAATCTATCAAAACTGTCTGGCAAAGGCTGAATACGACATGCTCACTTGTATACATGTAGCATCTTGGTGTTGTTTTGATGAAAAAAAAAATTACCTCCATTTTTTTCCTCGGATGTGATAGAAAAAAACGTATTTCAAAAGTCAACTAAAAAACGGGTGGCTATGATCTTCCATTGTAATTCAGAACCTGCCATGATCATACATGTATGACCTTAGTTGATTTCCAAATATCATACATGTGATAATGAACCATTATCCAACAACTTGACTGATGGACATCAGCAGTAAGCCAAAGCATATGCTCATATCAAGAAGTTAGATTAAATTAAGTTCATGACACTGATCAGCAGAGTAAAATATTATCTAAAAATACGGGGAAAGGAGCATCAAGTTACATCAATATGAATTTCAACACTGTTAATTTAAAGTGAATTTGCAGTTTCACCGTGAACTTTTTTTCATAGCCTGCGACTTCACTGCAGTTCTCCTTTTGAAAACACCATGAAGATGACCCTCACTGTGACCGCTTTTCAGACACCTTGAGGCCAAGTGAAAACAATGTTGGAAAATGCAGTAAGCCCAATTCCAGGCTACCGGGGAGTCCTTCTTAACTTTTTTGGTTGGGTTAATCCTTGAAAACGTGAAAATACCGTGAAACTGTTGTGAGCTAGTCCTCTGCCCAGCTGACCTACTTTCCACCATGAAAAGGGGCTTTCACCTGTACATTACCTTGGAAATATTTCACGGGGAATTAATGGCAAAACAGCATTTTCATGGTGTTGAAAGTTGCTTGTGCTCAACACCTGCTTTAATACTGGCCTCCTTATGACTGTGTCTCATTTGGTTCTGTTTACCTCCATCCGACACTTCTCCTACGGATACATCTTGCTCATATGCCATGAACCCCAAGACAGAAAAGATGACCAGGCCCCCGTATATGCTGGTGCAGCAGCCAATGGCGGTGACTATCAGTGTATCTCTGTCAAAAGTCAGGGTGAAACAAGGGGGAACACATAACATGCAAGTCAGGTTTTTTCCCCAAAAATGTTTTAGATTTATAACAACCAGCTTGGACAAGTCACACTTTGTCAAATGCAAGTGCATGTACATGCAAATCGGGAGAAATGACCCAATGCACTATTATTCCCACAAATTCTAGTTGATATAGAGTTTTCTCTTTCCTAATTGAATTTGTCTTCAACATTTATGTTTAATTCTTTCTTATTTGCATGTGCAAATAAAACCTCCTTAACTGGGGTGCATGGCACACACTGTGTGATACATGTAAGTTGTGAGTGGGACGTGTTGGTGTATAGTGAAATCTCGTATGAAATACCAGCTCCCTGTTTGTATTGCCAATGGAATGATACAATCAACTCTTATTATTACTACATGATGTACATGTAAATCTGGGGACCCATGAATGACAATGTTTATTGTATCACTTGTCGTATGTTGAGTGCAGATAAAGCACTGGCTCCCATTGTATTCACTAATGTTGTAACGGTATGTATAGATCGTATTGCATGCATAAGTCTACATGAACAATGTGTGATGTTTTGAACAAATGTAAGCATGCTCACCAAACTGAAATATATAAAATGAATGGAATCACAACAAGACAAATAAATGTAACTCATGGCTGCGGACAAAGTCAACAAAACAACAGTGATTATAAATGCTCAGACTGACTGTGCCTTTCCAAGCCTTTCCTTCACAACTTGTTTCAAGGAGAATTTCCATTATTATATATATTTCACTTATCCTGTAATGTTAAATGAACAACACCAGCTTTCTAGTGGGGATATAGCATTAGAGAGAATATGTTACCAGTAACAAGTGTACAAGCATGTTGGCAGTCGCACCTGTTGTGTTACATGCAATCCTTTGCAACAAATCTAGAGGTCCTTTGGGGTCCCTAATTGTAGGGTTTCATTATAGTTTGACCTTTTTCTGAACTTGGGGCTGCTGTGAATTTGCTCTGTCTTTTGAAGAGACTACCAAAGAGAAGTTTTCTTTAGCAAAATTATTACTCATCAGCACAAGGTTACAGTTTTGGGATTGTTTGTATTGCTGGTCTTTCTTTTCCAAGTTAAAAATGGAAAAGGGATTCAGTAATTTATTAGGAACTTGGGGATTATAACCAAAACTGGAAAAGTCCATACACTGGTATGTTCTTGAAATGATCTTTTTTTTCTTTATCATTTCTCCCGGAACGTGTTAATGGTGGATTGCACTTGAAAACTGGCCATGGTTGGTAACCTGGTAACCGTGGTAGGCGATTGACCGCGCACCGTTTGACAAATGTTTAACACACCAGTAAGATTAAAAACTGACATGAGAGTCATGTAATGACAACTAATTCTGCTTATAGATCCAGGATAAGTAAGACTGTAAATGGGTCCTTTCACACAACAGGGTCACATTTGTTGTCAAGGAATTTTGTACCTATGAGCTTTCACAAACTCTTTCACAAGCACTCACCAGTCACTTCACAAAGCGAGTCACACACAAGGTGAACAATGACACAGCTCATTTGAATAGCTTGTGAATTGGCGTAAGATTGTTATGACATGTGATGGGCTTACAGGGACTTGTGATGGACTCGAATACAGCAATGACTGTAAGAAAATACCTGATTTTGACTCCACAGAATGTGCAACTTTTCAGTGTGTGTTTATCTACTGGTACAGTATGTAACTGCAATTTCGTTTCATTTCATTTCAGCCATGTTTGTAATAATGAGAGTTGGTTGTAATTTTATCAGTGAATGCCATGTGAGAGGGTTCAAGTCCGCAAACTTGGATCTCTATTTCATGTGAAACCGGAAATATGTTTAAAACCAGAATGATCGTGGGCAAGCTATCCGAGGTATATTATTAATGAGAAATTATGACTTGGAGTGCCTTGTATAACTTGTACTTTGAACCAAAACTCAGTAGAAGAAAAAACCCACAAAACAGCCCCTCCCCCCAACAAAATTATCTACAAAAATAAATAAACAGATAACAGCAATATTCTACCTGTAACAGTTATTGTGGAATTTATTGTAGCTCCCTAGAGCAGTCAGAGTGCCAAAGCCCACGGCATAAGAGTAGAATATCTGAGAGCCTGCATCAATCCAAACCTGGAGAAATGAAGAATTAAACTCTTTCCTTAGAACACATTCATCTGCACAGTTGGACTTTACGAATGAAATTACTTTACACAAGTAATGATGGTACAAGTAGCACAAGTATTCTCCAACAAACTATAACAAAGCTATCTTCCAACAGAAGTACAAAGCTACATGTGTCCTCCAACAAAGTGTAACAAAGCTATACTTAAACAAAGTGCGATAAAGCTACTAAGTGTGACAAAGCTACAAAGTGTGACAAAGCTATCCTCCAACAAAGTGTAACAAAGCTATCCTCCAGCAAAGTGTAACAAAGCTATCCTCCAGCAAAGTGTAACAAAGCTATCCTCCAACAAGGTGTAACAAAGCTATCCTCCAGCAAAGTGTAACAAAGCTATCCTCCAGCAAAGTGTAACAAAGCTATCCTCCAGCAAAGTGTAACAAAGCTATCCTCCAGCAAAGTGTAACAAAGCTATCCTCCAACAAAGTGTAACAAAGCTATCCTCCAACAAGGTGTAACAAAAATACATCTTGAAAATAGTTCGCGGTACCCGCTGCTTCATTTGACTCAGACCGGCCAGCTGACCCCGGCAAGCTCGGTGGTCGAGCGGTCAAGACATCTGCACTAGTAAGCAGGAGGTTGTGGGTTCGAGTCCCACCCGAGTAAGCTTGTGAGGTTTTTTTCGCAAGGATACTTTTTTCTGCTAACAGTATTTATAATATCTGGGGATATGGTAAAATGCCATCATTCATACTTGAGGATGGGATATTATGCCATTTATACCTGGGGATCTCTCAGGCGTGATATGTCTGGTTGAAGGTAGAACAGCAGCCCTGTGCCAGCCCCAGGGAGCGTCACACCACGGATAAGCATGATGGTCAGCACCACATATGGAAAAGTGGCTGTGAAGTACACAACCTGCCCAGGGACATACAGAACTCCTTTTGGTCAACAAAAAGTCACCCTAATCAAGAGCAGTAATGGAGCGGTATTGGAGAAAGAATTTGAGAAGAATATCATGACAAGCAAATTTCCTGGCTCAGGTCCTTTGCAGGGCAGTATAAGATTGGCAATATTTATTCATGAAAGAACTATCACTAATATTTTGGATTTTTAGTTCACAGAATGTTTAATAGATGCTTCCTGTACTTTGTTTTTGTTTGATGCAGGGTTGATAAATGCCTCAAGTATTCATCAAAGAAAAATCAACAATGTTTTGGCATCATAAACCTATTTCTTGCAAATAACAAAATCGTAAAGCTTGTGCTTTATTTGCACAAGGATAAATTTTCCTGAAGTCTCATTGAATTCCTTATACGCAAAATTTGGACATTAGAACTCTTTTTTACTCATTATTATTCTAATTTACCTTGCCTGAACTTTTAACCCCTTTCCATACAATAAAGTACACGAGGACCCAGGCCAACAGAAGGCACAGCACCAGTGGCCAGACCAGTGTTCCAATTTCATCAAGTCCTCCTGACAGTTGCAACACTTTATTCCTTTCCAAGAAAACAAAGCCAAACCAAAGAAACAGAGGACAAACTGGAATTACAAACGTTCTCATGTGAGAGAAGGGTCGAGTCATGTGCATAGGTGTTAACATATACTGTACATTAGGACAGACTGCTACATTACAATACATGCACTCACATGCAAACACTCAACAAGGACCACAACATACAGTATACCGCTCTGATTAAATTAATGTAACCCTTCATCCAAAGATTAATATTACAAACAACATCAACATCAGAAAAAGTGGCACATGACACATGATACCAAACATATGTTTTAAATATTCAGAGAAGTACGCACTGTCGTATCTAGTACATGTAAGTTTTGCAGGGTAACTGAACACTGGTCACTGAAACACAACTTTAAAAATGGTGCCATGACAAGACGGGCAAAGTTCCAGCAGACATCCATATATTGTACTTACTCCCAGAACTCCTGTGAGGAGGACACACGGGTATCCGTTGCATTGTAGCAATAGGGCAGCAGTGTGGTATTAAAGTCTGTGAGATTCCCATCTTCCGGAACATCGAACAGCGCGTAGTCTATGTAGTCGGTTTCATTGGTGAGATTGTAAGTGTAGTTCAGGCAGGGACCTACAGAGCCCTTGCCAGGGCATGGTCACAATTAAAGAAGCACGAATGAAGAAACTGAAGTGTAAGAAGCGGGTTGATCAAATTACATGTACATGTATGTTGTTCTAACAGAACTTTGTGAGGCAAGCCGCAGGACACTAAAAACAAACTAAAACACAGAAAGCACTTGACACTTTTTAAATTTGCCAACTACGTGTATTTTTTCTTTTTTCTTCTTGAGACTGAGGGCTTACTCAGAAAAGGCAATTCCCCTTCTCATAGTAGCAAACAACAAAAACTGGTACAACAAACATTAGACTTTTTTCTGTTCTTACATAAAAAAAACAGGGTCGCAAGGTTGATTGTTTGTCTTCTGAAACATTAAAACCAAAACTAATGACAAACAAAATTTGGTTCATCATGCCTTCTTAAATGAAGTTTTAAACACAAAAAAATAAGTGATAGTTTTTTAATTATAAAGAAATTAATTAAATCATGGCCAGTGCTAGTTTTATTTTTAAGATTCTTGGTGATATCAATCACCTCATTCTTATCCGGCTACTGGCTTCAAAAACAAAGATCTTGGGTGAGGATTATTCAAAACGTTGGTAAAAGACTCCGGCAAACAAGGAATATTTCACAAAATTAGGACCTACATGTACATGTAGGTTGACAAAGTAGTCACTGAAACAATTGGCAATAATGTTCAGGATTACAAATTGGTTTGCCTTCATGGATAATGCTATTGATAGACTGGAAGGGCAATTTATTGTTTTAAATTGAATTTATCACTTTCCAGGTATTATGAATACTGTTTTTTTCCTGTTTGAACTGATTAGCATAATATTGTTTTTTAGAAAATTTTCCAGAAAAGACTGGTTAAGATGATTTTGTTACTGTGTGTTATTCACTTTCCCAACCTGTATATTCAAACCCTAAATAAGTGTAATACGTGTCTACTCACTGTATGACAATGCCTCCCATTTACACTGTGACAATGAACATTGTTGCCAATGATCAAGGATGAACTTTAACTGCAGAATTTATAAAGCTGCCTACAAGACAGCGATCACTATTTGCAAACAAAAGAAATGTCTACTCTACCAGTACGTAAACCTAATGTGTTTGACGTTTAAGGGGAACTGGTCGGGACCCATAGTACAGGCGCATATAGACCAGCGAATGAGTCACACAGTGAAAATGAGACACACATGTATATGAGTTTCAGTAACAGATATGGGGTGATCCGCTGTCATTAAGGCAATTAACTTGTAACATCTGTTCAATGAACAGATGACAGATTCACAAGCTAAGGCAATGTGTCATAAAAAAGAGACAATTACATGTAGGATAACATCATTTCTATTTTAACATTCTCTGGACTTCTAGACTCCCCAAAAGTATGTAAATTGTTGTATGTATTTGGATTAAAGTTCAACAAAAAAGAGACAATCAAAGTGCGGGACGACATTTAGCATTCTCTGGGCCTCTAAACTCTAAACAAGTATGTGTAAATTCGGTGATAAAGTGTTATGTAAGTGTACATTCTAAATTGCATTCAGCCTAGCTTGCCTTTGTACAATGTTTTTGGATTCTTTTTTTATTTTATTCATTTTTAAGTTCAACAATTGATGGCCGAGTTAAAATCTGCAAATGCTTATTAAGGTAATTTTCCAATTGATTCGATTCGATTCAACTTGATTCGATTTATTACTTATTTACCCTGAGGGAACCTCTCACTGCCCACCTATTACAATAATAGCTGGGCTATTATTAAACAAATATACCAACAACTGCTGAGACTACAATCCGTGAAGGAAATTTTACCATGCACCATTGCACTTAACGAGTCCTCAACTGTACTGTAGGACAAAATTTGGCAATATACATGTACACTGTGTAGTACATGTATGTAATTGGTAGGACCCAATGGATCTTGATGGATCCAGGCATAGGTCTCGCCAGGAATTTTTCCAACCGGGCAGGAGGGAGAAACTACTCATCAACAGCAAACTGATCGACAAACCATCAACAATCCCAACAAATTGGTGAATTTTATCCCTTTCCCCATTATATTTTCTTATTTTAAAAAAATTTCATTGTCTTATTTGAGGGAGGAATTAAGCACCCCCATACATCCTCCGGCACCCATTACGATGGTTCAAAATCTAGACAAAGCATCCCAACCAATCACTCAAGAAAGTCAGCTCTCGCTCGAGAGCAAAATGACACTGAAAACAATGCATGACTACCATACCTCTTCTTTGGACTCTATGCATTGCTCGGTATTCCAAGGGTTCCCACAGGTGGCCCAGGGTACCTCTGTGGTGAAGGACTTGAAGAAGTAATACAGTGCCCAAGCTAGGATGGTTACGTAATACTGGTTGCAGAAAGTGCAGATCACAGTCGTTGCATAACCGACCCCTGGAGACAGACAAATACAACAGCATGTTTCTTATGCATCTTCAAGTTCATGATAAAACATTGTATCTCAGCATGCTCCATTGAAAAAGCCACATATTCAGGTTTTTGTGCAAAAATGTGTTGGAATTTATATTTTCCTGAGATGCAATATAGAAGTGTTTACTTTTGTCCTTTTATCAAGCCCACTGATCATAACTAAAGTGAAAAAAAGTATCTAAGTAGAAAAGATGAAAACTATATTTTATGGAAAATACCCTATCAGTAGCACAAACTTCAGTTTTGCCTGAAATTTTCAATTAATCACCTCATGAATTATTCTTACTTCTGATGTCACTGTGAATGGAATAAAACAGGAATACAAGGAAATTGAAAGTTGCATATTTGCATAAACTCAAAATAGTTGCATAAGACCACTTCAAAGGCCAATGAGAAGACTGAACTTTAGCTTGTCAGTGTAAGTCTTTCATATGCTGGAGTTGCATCACTCTTATGACCAGCTCTTACAATTCCTATTAAAGTTTTCTCAGTATTTTTGTCTGGTTTGTGAAAGCTGAATTCTCTGTCTTGACATTATCACCAATGTCCTGGTGAATAATGGCTATTACAGGGTAAGGGTGAGAATTCCTTATTGTGCAACTGCAAGGCCTTATGATGGCTTTTGACTTCAATCATTTTTGGTTAGCATATGGGTCACATTTAAACAACTTGGAAAAAAAGTGGGGAAACAAGTTATCTGCCATTTCAGTGCTTTTCTCATTTGATGTTCCATTTGGTTTCCCTAAAAAACAGTAGAAAACTGTCAGAAACCAGATTGCAAGAGGTTTCCAGGAAAAGGTGCAATAAATTAGATGCTATAATTGTACTATAGAATCCCCTTAATTATGTCAACACTTGGCTCAATCCTCTAGCTAAAGTTTTGAAACTGAACAACTGAATATGGTTGAAGTTTGGGCATGATGATGGCTCTAATCAGACATTGAGGTTTTTTACTAGCATAGGGTAGGTCTGTATTTACACAGAGGGACAGACTTTAATTTTTGACAGCGGGCTGCCATACCAGCACTGGGCTGGACTGGCAGAGGTGGGAACAGGAGGTCAGATCACAATCAATTTCTGTGTTAAAACTTCCTCGGCTCCATGCATGTGTGACTGATTATACAACCACTGACGGGACCCAATGTACATATACTGTACTTATCTTTTTTTATATTAACAGGTTACTTTCATAGGCTCATAAGGGGCATTTTCTATTCTCTCATCTTGTGGTAACTTCAGAGATACATGTGAAACCAAGCTCCTCTACATAACTTTCCAAGACCAAAGTTTTTGGTCGGCCAAAATGTGCAAATGTTTTTTATAAACTTTAAGGCCCTTCCTGAGTTGAGGCTTTTCAAATGTTTTTGGAGGGAAAGAAAATGAAATAGATCAACAAAATCATCCTTCTCACATTATTTTTCAAAAAGAATTTTTGACTCCTTTCGGGAAGGGCCATGTTGCCCCCCCTCTTCTGCCCTTCACTATGCATGAAACAATCCAATGACTTGTTGATGGGCTTCTAGTAGACCAGCGTCAGGGCTGAATCTTACAAATCTACCCCACAGTGGTTATTTACTTTGTGTCACAAAAGCTGAACAAAATTTGTCACTTATCTTGTTTGTAAATTTGCAGAAGTGGAAGTTTATATACTAGAAGAAAGATAAAGCTACTGGTATCAATTTATCAATTCTCACACTGGTACATGTACAAAGTTCTTCAACAAATGGACAGGAGGGGGTAGGATGGTAAGATCGCAGCAGTCAACTGCGTTTCCTAAAGGACAAGCAGTACCTAATTGAGTTCTCTGAAGCAGAACCAACTCAATGATTCATACTGAACCCAGCTAAACAAAATTATGTATTTGGGCTCTATGTTAGCACTGTTATAGTTCCCTCTGCAATACATATTCCACACTTATTGCCTTACAGAAAAAAACAGTCCAGGGCCATGTCTGCTGTATTTTTTTCCCATGCACACGTGTTTGCAATACTCAAAAGACAGGACCTACTTGTACATGTATAAATTTTGTGACCCACTCTGTGAAAATGAGTCATAAGTTGCCAGAGAAACTTTTTTCATTTTTTCATTTCAGTTTTCATTTGTATTGGAAAGAGCAAAGGTTTTTGAGGTTTTTGTTTTGATGTATCACTCAGTTTGGCATCCTGATGAAAGTGGATACAATGTACTCAATGGTGAAAAATGCTGTGGGTTCCTATTGATTTACACTGTGCCAAATTATTCTCAAGGACTTTTTACTTCAAAGTGACTTTGGCGACTAAAGACTCATTTTGACAGAGTGGGTCACACTTTACATAACATAAGAGCATGCTGTTAGATCATCACCTTTGTGATTCTACTAAGTCTCTCCTGGAAAAAAAAGTGTCAGAGATACATGCAAAGACAAGCAATAGCAATTGCTCACTACTGATGTGCATTTTCCACACAATTAAATGCCCACCCCATTGCTACCAACATGTGTCCCCAATCTGTATTTAAGCATCGAGCTATTAAAAAGGATTTACATGTAAGCCAACAAAATTTTAAAAAAAATTGTGATCAGATGTGTGAAGCTGTCTGAAAATGACGGTTAAATTTATTTGCAAGCTACATATATGTACTGTACATGTAGATCTATGCACGGGTAGTTTTACTTTGTCACGCTCAGCAAATTTCGAAGTACTAAGAAATTTTTTTTTTTTAATGCTCCATATCCGAAAGATATATACAGCCATCAGTGCATTCTTGACAGGTTTTAAATACAGTGTACATGTACATGTTAAGATGAAGACCATCAGTTGGAGCCATACCAGGCCTTGAATTCTCATTTACTAGAAAACTCGAGTTATGCAAATCAAATAAAATTTCATCAAGTTATTTACATGTCGTTTTGTAATGTCACAAACCCCATTTTCCAGTTTTACATTTAATTGCTGAATTTGGTGCAAAATTACCTCAAGGCAAATCGAAGCAAACATGGACACACTCCGAATGACACAAGCATACCGGTATGTTATGATTATTATATTTGTATGATAAACAGGTACACACTCAAAAAGGAAAATACGTAGCCTCATGACACAGGAGAGCATATTGCAAAACTTGCTCTATGGGAGGAGTTGGGGGTGGTGGGTGGAAAAATAAATTAATGCACACAGGTTTTGTGTGCATACACTCTAGATGGCTGTGACAGATCGAGGCAGGCAGCATGCTCAGTGTCCTAATGCACACCCCTGAGAATCTAATTGGTGTAAAGTTTTCAAGAGCAATTTGTTCCATGTGCCTTTGACCTTTCACACCTTGCAAACTTATACCCTTTACAAGGCAAAGACCTCATCGGGCCTGCAATATGCTCAGCACACCACAAAAGATACAGGCATGTTAATTAACTGAGATACACTCGCTTGTTGACAAGTGGTATGCAAGTGCAGGGGTCTACATGTATGTATACACATGCAATATGCACTGACACACAGACATGTTTTGTACATACTTACACTTTCACTAATTATAAGGCATTTTACCTGCAAGGGCAAATGGAAACAAGTCAGCAATCCATGATTGTATAAGTTATCATGAATTTCATTTTATCGAAAAATGTGATGTCCTCCTAAGATAACAGGTTACATTTGACTATTGTCCTGTAGAGAATAAAGTTGTCAAAACTGTTCCCAGAAGCTAAAATTCAACACATACTGGATATTTCGGCCTTGTTTTTATAGGATATTTATGAGATTGAGGTGATTAGTTCAATCTGAAAATTTAACAATAACCGTAAGGCAAATTTCTCTTTATAAAATCTTGTTCAAATCTGAGACCAGGATTTCATTGTTTATGACACTAGCTGCAGGTGGCCACTCCCAGTCCACCATTCTTATTAGCCAAATTTACCTACGCAAACAGTGTTGGTCACTCATTCATGTCTAGTTTCAGGGTTGAGACTTGAGAGACAACTTCACAGAATCAGGATTTGCACTCATGCACTAACTTCAGCAATTAAAACTGAGAAATGTGATTTATATATTCACAAAATTGAAATTCAACATTAGTGATTGACTTTATGAAAGTCTACGTATGTTCAGAAAACTACATACATCTACAGTCTAATGTTTATGACATCCCCGTCATGTTCAGTCAAGCTTTATATTGCAGTAGTTGTTTACTGCTGTGGCTATTGCTGGTGTGATCTAACAGTAGCTGAAAATGCTAGTCCAGGTGCCTGAAGTCCAATTTTCTCATAAATGAGCATTTACAGCATGTCTGAATTCGAATACTCTATTATTTCCAAAATGTGATAAATGCCAAATTCTACAGCTTTAAGACAGCTAAACACAACTTTAATGACTTAAAATAGTGAAAAAAGTTTAGGGACACATAGTACATTGCTAAAGCCCTTCAATCTTTCATAATATGGGCCTTTGACAATAGTGCGCCACCACTGATGAAGTGCACAAAATCTGTCGACCCATTGTGCATTTTGAAAGGGTTGACAGATTTCGCGCCTTGTGATTGGTGAATGCATTGCAAACCCTTGGAGGCGCACTACTGTGAATCGCCCGTATTGCAGAAAAGTTGTATGTTTTGCAAATGGATAGACCTCAGTTTGGAAATCAACCCTTCATTTGTTAAAGTTGTATGTACATACCCAATTTTAAGTAAACGGATGTGCTTTCATGTCCCAGTTGGCCTTGGTAAATTGACAAACAGTAATGCAACTGACCCTAATGCAACAAACCAAGGTTTTTCCATGTACATATATTGGATCATGGAGGAATAAAACATCCATGATTGGATACATTTGACACTACAACTTGCTTACAATTACAATGTCAAGACATTCACTGAGGTTATGTACAAAGCTTTCAACAATTCCAATATACTACAAAGCGCTGAGTGTCAAGTTTAAACCTTAATCAGTGTAAGATTGACCCATATAAAACTGATGGTAGCAGGACAAAGAAATGACA